CTAATAGTACTCCATGGACCCAACCTCCATGACTTTATCTCACTTCTCTTTAAACTCTGTTCTAGTTGTAGCCTTCACAGCCTCCTGCAGCAAGGAGTTCCACAGGTTGACTCTTTGCTTTGTGAAGAAGAACTTTCTGTTACTAGTTTGAAGCCTGCTACCCATTCCTTTCCTTTGGTGTCCTCTAGTCCTTCTTTATGGGAACTAATGAAGAACTTTTCTGTATGCACCCTCTCCACCCCACTCCTGCCTTTAGAGACTTCTATCCTGTCCCCCCTCCGTCTCCTCTTTTCTAAGCTGAAAAGTCCCAGTCTCTTTAGCCTCTCTTCATATGGGACCTGTTCCCAACCCCTGATCATTTTAGTTGCCCTCCCCTCTCCCAGCCTCTCTCTTCCCCTCTCCTACCTCCTTTTCCCAGTCTCCCCCAGTTTTGTTCAATAAAGACAGATTCCATTTTTGAACACAATTGTCCTTTATTTTGTACATCAAGAAGAGGGGCTAGGGAAGGGTAAGTGGAAGGAGGTGAGGGAGGAATGGGGTACGAGCCTCCGATGGGGAGGACTGGGCTGGCTCTGCGGGCTTCTGGGGGTGGAAGCTCTCCTGCAGCCCCCCAATTGCCCCCTCTCCCTGGATGGCAGCCTGCGGCAAGTGCAGCCGGGCTGATGGCTGAGTGGTATGATGTGCCCAGTGTGGGTAGTCCGGGCAATCCAAGCGGGGCACCCCTGAGAACTGTCTGTCCGGGGTGGGGGTCGGGACCCTTTAAGCGCAGCCCTCGGCTAGCCTGAGACAGCATCTCCACGCTCTAAGTCCTCCTCTGATGCCCTGCCGGCACTGCTTCCGGCCATCCTTAAGCCCTGTTTAGGGTCCACTTAATGTGGACATGCTAGTTCGAATTAGCAAAACGCTAATTCAAACTAGTTTTTTAGTCTGGATCCGTTAGTTCGAATTAATGTTGTAGTGTAGACATACCCTATGAGTCTATAAGTACAGCATCTTTAACACACCCCTTGCCTACAGCTGACCTTCATATTGAAAACAGTTTTAGAGAGGTTAAGGTGCCTCTATAATGCCAGTGCTCCTTGGCACGGTGTCTACTTTGCCTAATTTGTCCCTGGACCATTGTTTTATTTACAGAGTTGTAAGCTTTTCAGTTAGGACAATGTAGGCGGCATCTTTTTAGGTTTGTGATTCATTTTGTATATCACATATATTACTCATTCTGCTTTTTCTTTTCAAAAAACTGTTACTGATTTTCTTGGGGCCTTTCACTGTCCCTCCTCCCTCCTTCCCCGGTGTTCCTCCTTCCCCTAGCCATCATTATACACTCCTAGAAGAAAACCAGTGGATTTTTTTTCCAGACCTAGAAAATCACAACCATGTCGCTTAACCCCCCCACTGAAGCCAAGATTTTCAGTAATTTATAGGTTCAAGCCTTCAGTTTTCATTCCATCAACTGAGTGTCCTAGACATAACAAGGCTGGATGCCAAAGAGGTATATAGAAGAAGAATAAAATATCAGATTTGGAATTCAGTTCAAATAATTTCCCCAAAACTCTGAAATAGTATTGTTACCTGAGGTAGCACTGCTGGTCCTTGTCCTGCCAACCTCTGCAAGGAGCTGACCTGAGGAACTTTAATGGGCACTGCAGTGATAGTTCCCAAAGCCTGTCAGAAGAAAACAGTTGAACAGGGTTTGAAACAATGGCACTTTCAAATCTCTCCAGAGATAGACTGAAACCTATCCAACTAGTCCCTGTCTGTTTGTTATTCTTCTCTGTATTTGATTCTCCATAGTTGGGGAGTAACACTGTAGCGTTTCAGTCCATTTGGAACTCTCTCTCCCTCCCTCCCATCTTCTGAGACAGAGAATTGTTTCCCGCTTTAATCTTCTCTTAAAAGCATCCTTAATTATGATTTATTGTCTCTGTGGAGCATTTTGCAGGACTGAGTATGAAGGATTTGTCTTATAATGTACACCATCCTGGTTATTTTAAAGGTATTTTAGTGCCCTGCCAAGTTCAAGGTTTGTTTGAGCAGTAGCTTGTTTTCAAGTGATCCAAGGAAAAGAGATACATGTGGGTTTTTAAGATGTTACATTACAAAATGCCAGGCTCTCCTTAAAAGTTCAGCGAGCTTACAGAGTATATTCTACTTTTATCATAAAAATGAGATTTGGTATATACTGATCTGTCACAGTCCCATCAAATCCAAAATCAGAATGCAACCTATGGGGTGCAATAATGTATTAATAATCTAAAACTGTGCTTCTGAATAAACACATTTTGAGCCATGCCAGTTATAACTATTCTAATTTACTCTACCTATTTAGGAAAAACTTTAAAAACAACAAATAGACTAGTAGCACCTTAAAGACTAACAAAACATGTAGATGGTACCATGAGCGTTCATGGACACAACTCACTATACAGTCTTATTTGTAACAATTGTTTCAGCATTTAAAAAAGACCTGGCTCATCAAACAAATGCTTCATTTTAACCTCTATGGGTATGTCTACACTACCACCCTCGTTCGAACTAGCGGGGTAATGTAGGCAACCGCACTTGCAAATGAAGCCCGGGATTTGAATTTCCCGGGCTTCATTTGCATAAGCCGGGCGCCGCCATTTTAAAATCCCGGCTAGTTCGAACCCCGTGCCGCGCGGCTACACGCGGCACGGAGTAGCTAGTTCGGATTAGGCTTCCTAA